GGGATGCGGCCCCTGAGCATCTCCAGAGCCCCTGCCACTCTTGCCCGCCGCTGAAATGCCAACAGAGCTTCCAAGGTGTAGGCCGGGTTAGGAAGGAGCCTGCACCCCAGATGGTCAGGCCCAAGAGGCTTCAGAAATCAGTGCTACACTTAGGAGGACGGAGGCCAGAGAGGAGCAGGGTACGGCCCAGGATGGCACAGGATGTGCACATGGGAAAATGGTACAACAAATTGTACCGGTCCGTTCCACTCTAGTAGGATGTACTTTATCAAATGAAAGAGTAAATGTTTGGTTCTGCCGCTTGCCTCGCAAGCACGAGGTCCCGAGTTCGATCCCTGGTGCCAAAAACATAAAAAAATCAATTCTTGGACTGTCGGAAGGGGATGCCTGATGGTCATTAAGTAGCTCAGGAGTAACATATATGAGGCAGGGTCTCGTCCTCCTTTCTCCACGAGGGATCAGTGAGTGCAGGTGCGATGGCAGAGTTTCTAAGATCAGGCTCAGGCAGGGTCGGACGTAGATCTGCACATCCTTTGGTGCGCTCTGGGATGCTGGACCAAATGCTGAGTGTGTGAGGTTCACAACACAGCAGTCACAGCAGGGACGAGGGGTTGGCACCTGCGGACGGGCAGCATCACCTGTGTGGTCCTCAAGGGGACTGGCACGGCCCTGGGAAGGTGGGCCTGGAAGGGGGCCTCTGTGGCATGGCAGTGCCTCTGTCCCCCATTCAGCCTCAGAGCCCCTCTGCTCCCAGAGCTGGGCTTCTCTGTTCTAATTACTGGGTCATCCACTCCTGATACCAACAATGTCCCATTTATTTCTATCATGGGAAAAATCTCTATTTATCTTGTGTAGTTTTTCACTGTGTCTCCCTCATCAGAGTGCAAACTCCAGGAGAGAGGCCTTGGTCAGGTTTTTATTGCTGCTGTATCTCTGTTTAGCACATTCTGAGCAGAGGAGGTCCTCAAGAAATGTGGAGTTGATGGACGAAAGGACAGGAGCTTCCAACAGAACTGGCTTCCGGGCTCCCTTGCAGCTCACTATGGCTCCCCTACTAGGCCTTAGTCTTCGCAATTGTAGGATGGGGCTAAATTCAGTGACCCCTGAGGTCCCTGCTAACTGAGCATCCAGGATGAAGCACTTTCCCAGGTGGCTGTCTCCCACGGAGGCCCCTAGCGTGCATGAGGCATTTGGACTCAGTCCTCACCTGGCCCCTAGGTCGGCCACCAGCGCATCATCCTTGAGCAGGCTCAGGGCCTCCTGGGTGCTGCCCCTCCACAACAGCGGTGTGGCCCACAGCCCTCTGGGCAGCCGTAGCGATCAGCGGTGTCAGGTTTCGCTGGGGAAGTCACCAAACCTCTGCGAGCCCTAGTCCTTTCTCTGTAATGTGAGGGAAACAGTTCCTATGCCATAGGGCTGGTGTGAGGATTCGATGGGATGAAATGCTTGGCATGGTACCTGCTACATACTAACTGCTCCGAAAATAATTTTTAGGCACTGGGGTTGTAGCTAGTAGTAAAGCACTTGCCTAGCATTCAAGAAGCCCCAGGTTTGATCCCCAGCACCACACACACACACACACACACACTGTTATCAACGATGGAAAGTTCAATTTCCAGAAATTTCTTGAGGTCAGTGATCGAATGTGTTTTGTGGAACCAGCTGCCCTTCCAGTAGGGATTTTCTGTTTATTGGATGTGACAGGTATTGAAAGGATGATAGGATTGAGATCCCTTCCATCCCTCTACTCATCGATAAATTTTTACCACCTGTGCCAAGGACTATTCTAGGTGCTGGGGACTCAGCACAAAATAAAACTGCCCCCGTTGGTGTGGTGTTGATATTGTGGTGGAGGGCACAGACAATAAGCAAGTAAGTGTTTATGCTATGGAGAAAAATACTTCAACGACAGGAGTCGTTATACAATGTGGTCACCCTCGTGGAGAAGGTAACCCTTCATCAGGTGACATCTGGAGAAGACGCGCCATGCAGCTGTAATGCAAGGATGTCTTAGGCAGAGAGAACAAAATGCAAAGGCCCTGGGGCAGGCAGTACTGACATATTTGAGGGACAGTATGGAAAGTGAGTGTGGCTGGAGAGGAGTGAGGAAAGGCAGAGATCAGAGGGGTACCAGATCCTCCAGGACCCCATCGTGGAAGGACTTAGCTCTCCCTCGGGATGGGATGGGGCCACTGCAGAGGTTTCTGAGCAAAGGAGCGACATAATCCAACACATTTACCAAGGTCCCTCTGCTGCTGTATGGAAAAAAAAAAAAACTGTTGGAGGCAATGGCAGAGGCAGGGAAGCTTCTGAAAAGACTTTGAAATCCTTACGAAAAGCCAGGCACAGTGATGTATGCCTGTAATCCCAGCAAATGGAAGGCTGAGGCAGGAGGATAGAAACACATTCAAGGCCGGCCTGGGCTCCAGAGCAAGACCCTGTCTCAAAACACAAACCAAAGACCCAGCAAGATTCTTGCTTAGGTGATAGTGGCTGAGACCAGTATGCTAAAAGCAGAGGCGATGAGAGGAGGCTGGATTCTGGACATTGCTGATAGCAGAGCCAACAGGATTTGCTCCTGGAGGGCAGAATTGGGACTGGGACCGAGAGGGAGGCCTGAGGGATGACTACAAAGTTTTTGAAAAGAGCAGTGTGATGGAAGCTCCCAAATCCTGCATTCAAATTCTGAATCCAGCACTTGATGCTCAGCTCCAAACCTCATTACTTCCCCTCTCTGAGCCTCCCTTTGTTCATCTCTAAGTGGACCGAAGTGCCTGCAGTGGTTGCCAGTCAGACACTGCAGGACTTAAAGAAAGAAGGGCTTCAGGCAGCAGCTTGCTCAGCTGGCCTCTTGGGACAGGGAGGAGTCAGGGAGGGTGTGAAACTGACCACTCACAGAGCCCCCGTGCTGTGCGTAGATGAAGGAGCCACAATACAGCCCTAGAGGGAGCCCTCGAGTCACGAGGAGACACCCACCACTGCCAACCCCTGGATCAGAGCTCTTCAAAGCACGTCTCCATCCGAGGCCTGTATCTCATTTTAAATGTGCAATAGTGTGCTCTTACAGCGGACCTCCAAAGTTATACCGCATCAGGCTCCCCCAAGCCCGGGCCCACCAGTCCTGTGCAGAGGTACCTAGGCAAGCGTCTGCCGGGTGCCAGGTCCTCGCTCAGTTACCCTTGTGAACCCATTCCATCACCCACCACAGCCTTAACCACAGTTAATTTACAAGGGAGATGGCAAGGCTCAGAGAGGTTAAGGGATCTGCCCGGGATCACACAGCAAGAAGGCAGAGCTGGCATTTCAGTGCTGTGTGCTTAGCCATGGGGCCACTCTCCCTCGAGAAGACGGATCCTGTCCTACCTGTGCCACCTCAGAAGCACCCACCCTCTCACTCAGCCTCAGATTCTGGGCACGTGAGTGACAGCAGCCACATCCACTGGCTGAGCGCTCCGGCCTGGGTGCACTCTGTGAAATTATGAGGGTGGTGGCACTGGAGAGGGACACGGACATTTTGGGTTGACGCATCAATGACCACAAATACGTACCATCAGAGGCATTTGGGGTGGGACAGATGGTGCCCGCCTTCTCCCCCTTTGACGCACAAAGCAGGGCACCTCTCCCCATACCCTCTTAGACCAGCACCCCACCCACAGTGGCACATGGGCACAAAGGCCAGCAGCAGGTCCCCCAGCACCCGAAGCAGCCCCTGCCTCCGGCCGGTCCCTCCCACCCTGCTCCCTTCCCAGCCATCCCTGCCCAATTCCCGTCCCCTGCTTTGTCTCCGAGCACCAGCCTGTTCCTGCCCCTCCACCTTGTTCCCTTGTTAGCATACCTTTTTTTAATTTTTTGGTACAGGGAATCGAACTCTGGTCCTTGCACTTGCAAGGCAGGCGGCGGAACCGCTGAGCTAAAATCCCAGGCCCTTGTTAGCATACCTTTACAGTGATTATCTTTAATAAGTTCTTTCTGATAAGCGGTTCACTGACATGATTCAAGATCCAAAGAACACCAAAGGGTGTACAATGAAGTTTTTTCCTCTTAGTCTTCTCCGCTCCCTGGAGGCAGCCAGATGTTTCAGTCTCTTTACTTCCCATCCAAAGATACTTGAGGCATCTTGAAACCGATACATACTTCTCCGTGTAATACGTGTGTGATACAGAATGCACGCCTTACAGACACATTCCATAGCCTGTAGATGTACTGCGTACGGACAGAAACATTTCACACGTACATGTATTTTTATTCCATTTATATGGTAGCATACAGTATAGGCTCTTATGATATTTTCTCCTACTTAGTATTGTGCTTTACCCCATCTCAGTACACAAAGAATATTACCCCTTTTTAGAGCTAAACACTATCTGCATAGCTGTATCATGGTTTTTAGTCATTCCCCTCTTGACGGGCACGTAGGCTGTTTCCGTCTTTTATTATTACAAACAGTTCTGTATTAAATTACTGTGGACATACTTTATACCACACACGTGCACACTAAGTGCTTGCTGTACCACCGAGCTGTGCTAGCAGCCTCTGTATTTTTACACCGTGGTGACTGCTGCTGGCTGCCCCCCACGCGGGTCATCTCTTTAGACCCCACCACTGATGGAGGAGAGGGCCTATTTCACCACACCCTCACCAACTTGATGCAGCCAAAAATGTTATCTTTGCCAAAATGGTGTGGGGGGGGTATGTTGTCTCCATGTTTTAATTCACACTAATTTTGTTATAAGTGAGGTTGAGCATCTTTTAATGGTTTTACATCTTCTTGAGGGCCTCTTCTGTGAATTGTTGATTCTGCTCCTACCCTTCAGCTGTGTCTCCGCTGGGTGGCTGGTACTGGGCTGACTTGTACGTGATCTCTGCGTGTACACTGAGGGGCGTTGGGTCTTCCTTGCGGAATTGCTACAGACGCAAATTTGATGACTTGCTGTAGACCTGCTGAGCAGGCCTTGACCACCAAACTGATTTGTCTACTTGATCTAAACTCCTAGGCTTTACGCCAGCTTTTACCTCTTGAGATCCTTCCACCCAAGCCGTGGCGTGGGAATAGGGCCAACACAGGACGCAGAGCAGGGACCCGGTCCCCCACCCCACTGAGATAGTTTAGGACAGGTCAGGTAAGCCCTGGGACTCACCTGAGAGTTGGCTGGCCACCCTTCGGAGGGTGACGGGTCAAGGCCTGGGGGCCGGGCCCACCTCCTCTAGCCCATGCAGCAGGCCCTGGTGCTGGGGGCTGAGGCCATGCCCCCCCTTCACCATTGTGAGTGGTGACGGTGCTGGCGTAGTGCTCCAGGGAGTCGTCTGGAGAGGCCGTGATGCCCTCCTCCCACAGGCGGTACAGCATGAGGAAGCATGGGGAGATCTTGGAGGTGCTGGCGATCCTGCACCATGAGGACGCAAGACAGCCTGAATGCAGCCTGCTGTCCACGGCCAAGCTCTGCCCTGTGCCCGCAGCTCCCACACTCTCGTGTTCTAGAAAAGACTGAACCCACCCTAGGCCCTTCCCACTGTAAGGTCGGCCTGGGTTGGAACTGTCCTGTGACTCCTACTGGCTGTGTGGTTTCGGGCAAGTTACTAGACCTTTTGAGCCAGCTTCCCTGTCCGCTTCACAGGTCATAAAAGGAACAGAAGGGGTGGGCCTTGGACCTGGCCTGGGGCAGGGCAGGGTGAGGGTTAATCTGCTGTGGACCCCGTCATCCCCGCAGCATCCCTGGGAATGAATGTCCGCTTTGCAGTGTGAGCTTTGAGGAGGGTGGACATCGTGTGCAGCTCAGTGTTCTAAGCTGCTCCCATCTGGGGTGCCGCTGCCGACTCCCAAGGGCCTGGGGCCAGAGCCTCGGAGCTGAGTATGGGTTTTGGAGGCACGTGAAAAGGGCAGGAGGTGGGTGGCACAGGGGTCCTTCTCCGGTTTGCTGGTTTGGGAGGAAGGTTTCCAGGAGGGGTCCCGGCTGACCGACCACCCTGTGGTGTGACCCTGGGCACTCACTGGCACCCTCTGGACCTCAGCCGCCTCTTCTGTGGAACTGCCAGGACTTGACGGTGGGTGCTGGCAGCTGGACACCCCAGCAGGCTTCTCTCGGGTCTCGCTGCTGCCTGGGTCCCTTGCCGTCCCACCCTACACCGTCCCTAGGACCCTAGAGATCACCCAGCTGACCGGTACATGGCCTACTCGCTGGGGCCCCAGAACTGGGGTCTGAGCCATTCTTCCTCCCCAAGTTCCCAGTCCAGAGCACGGTGTCATTGTGGATGACAACTGTAGACGTCACAGCCAAGCCTGGGGCAGACCTGGCTGGCGCAGGATACCATCCACCTGGGGGAGAAGACCAGCGGGCTCTGTGGTCCATCCCACAGCCAGCCCCTCACACAGTGCCTCCGTGAGCTGCAGCCCTCCCAGTCCTAAGCACGGCCCTCGGGGCCCAGCTCTCGTCGGTCTGTGTTATACATAGGGCTTCCTCAAAAGAGTTCTGATCAAAGAAAAATTTCCTTGGCAAAGTAAAAGAGGAGGAAGGGAGGCTGAGGATAGAGCTCAGTGGTAGAGTGCTTGCCTAGCAGGTATGAGGCACTGGGTTCCAACCTCAATATAAAAAAGTAGGGGAACGGGGATGTAGCTCAGTGGTTCTGCCTTGCAAGCACAAGGACCCGAGTTCAACCCTGAGTACCCCCACAAAAAGGGAAAGGTTTAAAATTCCCAACTTAATTAAACCCTTGCCTGATGCCCCTGAGGCTTCATTGAACACCCTATGTTGAGGAATCCACTATTTTCAGGCCCCTCGTGGGACATTTCTTAGAATGCCTTGTTATTTTCGATGGTGAAGTATAAGGGTAATGATAACAGCTAATGTTTACTGGGCATTTAGAAGAAACCAGGTGTGGCACAGTGAGTTTCAGTCATTATTTTATTTAATCCTCATAGTCAGTCAGTGCTAATTTCTCCCCATTTAATGGAGGCAAAAGCAGAGTCTCTGGGGGTGAGAAACGCCTTACCCACACGCCAACAGCCGCAGGGATGGAAAGCAGGACCATCCCCAGCCACAGCCCCTTCCTAACCACAGCCGGACACTTGCCCCTGGGTTCACCTGTCCTGAGCTGAGTGCTCTGCGTCTCCCCTGTGCTATATTTTATTTAATCCTCATAGTCAGTCAGTGCTAATTTCTCCCCATTTAATGGAGGCAAAAGCAGAGTCTCTGGGGGTGAGAAACGCCTTACCCACGCGCCAACAGCCGCTGGGATGGAAAGCAGGACCATCCCCAGCCACAGCCCCTTCCTAACGGAAGCCGGACACTTGCCCCTGGGTTCACCTGTCCTGAGCTGAGTGCACTCAGCCTCCACCCTGTGCTAACTTTGCCTCTCTGAGCCTCAGTTTCCCCCTGCGCCGATGGAGGTCCATGAGGTGTGGGCACAAACAGGCAGCATGGCACTCAGCCCACACTCAGCAGGAGGCAGCCGTACTGATTATTGTCACCCGGGTGCCACACAGCACCCTCTGCTCCCCTCTTCCCCCAGAGCTTCTTGTGTCTCCCCACTGGCCCATGCTCACCTCCCACCCATGGACTGGTCACCACTGGCTTCCCTTCAGCGGCTACCGGACAGTAGTGTCAAGCCCCCCACCAGGATGCCACTCGTGTGCTTCTGATCATGTTCCTGTTGCCTCTGTGATTCCTAAGGTGAGAGACCTAAGTACATGGGTCTGATGGCACAGAGCAGGGCCACCCTGCAGTGGTAAGCATTGTGCTGTGGTAGGCGTGTGCATGCATGTGCATGCCTGTGTTTGATCACATCTCCGTGGCCTCTGTGATACGGACTATCATATGCTCCCTCCTGATCTTATCCCACCTCCTACCTCTGACCTCTTAGCCTTCTTTGTGCATCATGTACTCAGTCTTCTGCCTCAGGGCATTTGCACATGCTGTTCCCTCTATCTGGAGCACACCCCTGCACTCCCAGGCTCCCTGACCACATCCACACACATCTTCTGGGTATCTGCTTATTCACATTGCACCTGAGACACCACTACTTTGAGGCTCCAAGGCCAGTTCTTTGGTGCCCACAGTCCTCTCCACTTTCCTTGTCTTCATGCGGGCCTCTGTATTAGAAACATCTGTTGTCTCGATTGCTCCCTTTGCTCCCAGGCTGGTGGTTTCTAGAAGGCAGGTGAGTGTCTTCTTCCTGCCCCATCCCTGGTGCTGAGCACAGAGTAGGCTAAATGGATGTCACTGCCTGCAAAGAGTGCACCCTTCCTTCACCCAGGCCCCACCCACACACCCACCCCTCTGGGGTCATCACTGACCTTCTCCAGGGCCTCCTGCAACACAGCAGCCAGAGGCACGGGTTCAGGGTGCTGGGGACACATCCTCATGGGAGCAGAGGTCCCTGCTGGTCCCAAGGAACCTGGAGGGAGCACCACAGAGGGAGTGGAGGACAGAGATCAGGATAGGAGCCGAGGGTTCACCCTGGAGGAGGAGGAAAGGTAGCGAAGGCTGGAGTCATGCCTTGGGACGGTCCTTCCAGCCAGCAGGACGATACAGGGACTTGCCACAGCCCTGAGGTCCAGCCAGAGAAAGCCCAGTCCACGCCGCCACCGCTGCCTGGCCTTGGCGACTGCCACCGGGGTGCAGATCCTGCGGCAGTGGCCGAGGCCCCCGCCCTGTGCTCCACCGGCTCCCTCCGTGTGGTCAATCAGACCGAGCCCGGGCTCCTCAGGGCAGGCTCAGCATGACTGTGCGTCTCCCGCTCCTTCCTCATGCCGAGTACCTGTGTCGGGGTGGACCGGGCGCCCCGTGTGGCTTCCGGCCTTAAACAACAGGGACAACTCTGTCACCAGAGATGGGCATCGAGTCTGTCCTGCTTTTGCACAGGATACAGCCGCCCTGGGACCGCAGGGAACAGCAGCTGGGGAGGTTGGTGGGACAGAATTCAGGCCTGATAGCTCCCAGCAGGCCCCAGATCCCGCCTTCTCCTCTGATGCCTATGTGGGATGTTAAAGAGCCTGAGATGAGACTGACTTGCAGCTTACTTGGGCCAATCAAGTGAAGCTGAACTAACTGTGTGACTTTCAAGGCAGGGCACTGAGGGACTTGCTTCCTAGGGACACTGCCACCTTGTGGACAGGCCTGGGATAATGCCTTTGGAGAAGGAAACACCAGGTTAGATGTCTAGCACAGCTGCCCGCCAGCCCAGAGTCACGAGAAATTATCAGCCAGTAGATTTAGGGTGGTTTTTTTACTTAGCAATAGATAAAACAGGAAAATTGCATTAGGATGGTTCTCTCAACCAGTGGATGGCATAGGTTTGGAACTTTGGCTTTGTGAGCCGGGGACCAGGTAGGGCTGTACATGTGCATAGGAAACTACCCAGAAATCTTAAAATGTAGCTTCATTCAGTGAGTGCTCGCTTCTGACAGTCCCTCGGGCAATGCCCACAGGAGGGTGAGGACCTGGGTCTCTCTGGTCTGTAGATCACGCACTGTTTATTTCCTGTTTGTACAAAACTGGAGGAAAAGCACAGGAATGTTTCTTTTTGTTTTTGTTTTGGGGACTGAGCATTGAACCCAGGGCCTTCACACTGAACTGCATCCGCTGCCTGGCCTTGGCGACTGCCACCGGGGTGCAGATCCTGCGGCAGTGGCCGAGGCCCCCGCCCTGTGCTCCACCGGCTCCCTCCGTGTGGTCAATCAGACCGAGCCCGGGCTCCTCAGGGCAGGCTCAGCATGGCTGTGCGTCTCCCGCTCCTTCCTCATGCCGAGTACCTGTGTCGGGGTGGACCGGGCGCCCCTTGTGGCTTCCGGCCTTAAACAACAGGGACAACTCTGTCACCAGAGATGGGCATTGAGTCTGTCCTGCTTTTGCACAGGATACAGCCGCTCTGGGACCGCGGGGAACAGCAGCTGGGGAGGTTGGTGGGACAGAATTCAGGCCTGATAGCTCCCAGCAGCCCCCAGATCCCGCCTTCTCCTCTGATGCCTATGTGGGATGTTAAGGAGCCTGAGATGAGACTGACTTGCAGCTTACTTGGGCCAATCAAGTGAAGCTGAACTGTGTGACTTTCAAGGCAGGGCACTGAGGGACTTGCTTCCTAGGGACACTGCCACCTTGTGGACAGGCCTGGGATAATGCCTTTGGAGAAGGAAACACCAGGTTAGATGTCTAGCACAGCTGCCCGCCAGCCCAGAGTCACGAGAAATTATCAGCCAGTAGATTTAGGGTGGTTTTTTTACTTAGCAATAGATAAAACAGGAAAATTGCATTAGGATGGTTCTCTCAACCAGTGGATGGCATCTGTTTGGAACTTTGGCTTTGTGAGCCGGGGACCAGTTAGGGCTGTACATGTGCATAGGAAACTACCCAGGAATCTTAAAATGTAGCTTCATTCAGTGAGTGCTCGCTTCTGACAGTCCCTCGGGCAATGCCCACAGGAGGGTGAGGACCTGGGTCTCTCTGGTATGTAGATCACGCACTGTTTATTTCCTGTTTGTACAAAACTGGAGGAAAAGCACAAGAATGTTTCTTTTTGTTTTTGTTTTGGGGACTGAGCATTGAACCCAGGGCCTTCACACTGAACTGCACCCACAGCCCTTTTGCTCGCTTCTGACAGTCCCTCGGGCAATGCCCACAGGAGGGTGAGGACCTGGGTCTCTCTGGTATGTAGATCACGCACTGTTTATTTCCTGTTTGTACAAAACTGGAGGAAAAGCACAAGAATGTTTCTTTTTGTTTTTGTTTTGGGGACTGAGCATTGAACCCAGGGCCTTCACACTGAACTGCACCCACAGCCCTTTTAAAATTTTTTTTAAACTTTGAGACAGGGTCTCACTAAGTCACTAAATTGCCCAGGCTGGTCTCAAACTTGCAGTCCCCCCGCTCAGCCTCCCAGGTGTAGGCAGGCATGCTCCACTACACCGAGTGGTATTTAGAAACTTTTACAGCGGTTTGACAGAGTAATTTTGCATTTGTGGACTCCAATAACACAAACTTTGGGCTTCTGGACCAGGCATGTAGCTCAGCGGTACACTGCCTACCTGGCAAGTGCAAGGTTCTAGGTTTGATCTCCGGCACTGAAATAATTTTTTTAAAAAAAATTTTTTAATTGGGGGTTCTGTTTATGTCTTCTTTACAAGTTTCCCTAATGATTTACTTTTGTTTTTGTTTTTGTTTTTGGTTTTTTTGAGACAAAGTCTCCAGGCTGTCCTTGAACTTGATATTGTAGCCCAGACTGAACTCGAATTTGCGATCCTCCAGCCTCAGCCTCCTAAGGGCATGGATTACAGGCACACGCCACCACGCATAGCCCCTGCTGTGTGTTTGTAGTAATACCGGTCTGCTATGGCTTGGTAGTTTAACAGCTTTAGGAGCACATTTCTGGGCCACAGGCCCAGCCTGCCTGCCTACGTATTTACTTGAGAAACTGAGGAGTCCCTCAAAAAGGCATTTACCCTAGAAACAAGGGTTGAGATGCACAAGAAAGGGGCAGGAAAAAAAAGGAACCATATCTGTAAACATTCCTGTGGGATTGCAAGAGCCCATAGCTCTCACTGAGCTTTGGGACATCTGTAGCACAGGTGACACAGGAGTGGAGAGAGGCACTGTCCCCCACCCAGGCTCCCAGCAGACTGGAGGTTCCTGTGTTGCTATAGCAACAGAGGGCCTAGTGTCCATCGCAAGCAGTGATAGCTCCCTTGCTGGCCCTTGAGCAGCTTAGGAAGGAGAGGCTCTTAGAAGTGGGAGTCACCATCCAGAGACCCCTCTCCGGGTTTTGGAGCGGTGAGAAGGTCTTTGGACCATGGTGCTCAAAAGTAGAACAAGGGAAATACTGTTTGCACTTTTGGGGGACCCTGATTTTTGCCCACGTCCAGACTGGGCAGCTTGAGGAAACCCTAGCAGCACTAGGATTTGCATTTTACACATGGCAGCGCTGAGGCCCAGAGATTCACAGTTAGGGAGACCCACGGTGAGGGTACAGGCTGGGAGCTCTTGAGTCTGAATCTTACGATCCTCCTCACACCCTGGGACTAGGTGGCAGCTCAGAGCCCAGGAAGACCTGCCAGAGTGGCCCAGCACTCACCAGTCTGCAGCTCGGAGAGGCGGTACTGCCACAAGAAGCAGCCAGTCATAACTGCAGAGGTCAGGAGGAGGAAGCCTCTGGAGGCTGGGAAGAGCCACCTCCTGATCGCTTTCAGCTGGCAGAGCTGCCAGCCAGCCTGGAAAAGTAGGAACACAACATGGGCCCCCTGGGGGTCAGCAGTGGGAAGGGACTTCAGGGTCCCTCAGACATCCGGAGAGGCCAGAGGTCTGGATAAATGTCACCCCTGTAAGCATATAACTCTTCAGTGGCTCTGCCTGGCACGCTCTGCCTCTCCCTGAGCTTAGCGGCTTACGTAGTCTAAGACCTGCTGCAATGCCACCTCCTCCAGGAAGCCCTCCCCGGCTCTCCTCACCCTTGTCCCCTGCTAATGCACTTGGAACGAGCCTGCAAGAAGGTGTAAATGCAAGTCCCTCTGCGGCTCTTGGCCGATGCCCCTACAAGTGAGGCATCCCAGATGGGGCCGCCAGTCCCGTCCTCTCCCCGCAAGGCCTTGGGTCTGACCTGGTGCACAGTACACGGGTGTGGAGGGCACATGTGGGGCCTGAGGCTATGGACCAGGCTTCCTTCTGTCCCTGTCCACACCCGCTGTCTGCAACACCTTCCGTGACCTTGAACTTGGGAAGGAGCGCCCAGTGGGCTTGCATGAAGCTCGCAATACGGGACTGGTACTGAGTGGAGGTAGCTTCTCTGCCAAAATGTGAGTAAGGAGAGGTGGCCTATGTGGAGCTGTTGGGGAGGATGGGCAGGCAAGGGGCTGAGGCGGTGCAGGGTGAGAGGTGGGAGCAGACAGGCAGCAGCGTTCAGAGGTGGTACGAGCAGGTCCTGAAGCCCGAAAGAGGACAAGAGGAGAGGTGGAGAGGGGCCAAGGCCCTGGAAAGGCGGGCAGGTGGCCATCCTCCCCCGCAAAAGAGCCGCGGGCTCCTGCACAGCCAACTTAGAAGCCAGGGGACACAGGCCCCCTCCAATCAGCCTCCCTGCGACTGGCCCACGACTTTTGAGATAAGCGTCCCAGCCCGGGTGAAGTAGGCGCTGTCCGGGCCTTGGTGTTAGGGACGAGGCTCAGAGGAGTTCAGTGATTTGCCCAAGGTCACACAGCTAGTTGCAGAGCTGAGATTTGAACCCAAAGCCCAGTCTCCAACCTACTCAGCCAGAGCCTTAAGAGTCACAGTGTGACCTCTTCTGAACCCTTCAATGCCTTTGTCCTTTCCTGAGCACCTGCTAGGCACCGGGCACTGTTCCAGGCCCCCAAGTTTCAGCAGCAAAGCAGCCTTGAGACTCTCCAGCCCCGGGAAGCTGGTGTGCTGTGTCAGCCAGGTCTGCCTTCCTTCCTTCCGTCCTGTTCATCGGTGCATCCCTAATACGTGGCTCAGTGGTTTTCACACAGGCGGGCACCCAGTCACGGCTAACACCCACAGAGCCTTTCCTGTATGTGAGAGGCAGCCCCTGTGATCTATAAACACTAATTCATTTAATCCTTGCAACTGAATGCAAGTAGGCACTATTGTTTTCGTGGTTCTTGGGAAATGCTTTTGAACTTTACACTGTTCTGCAAGTTAAGACTTAGGTTCAAATCTCAATGCCTCCTCCTGAGTCCACTGTAGCTCTGGACAAACCTCTTTCCTCATCTGGGCCTCTGCTTCTTCAATTGTTAAAGAAGAAAGTTGAGCCATTGGTAAAAAGTTTACTTTTATGTCTCAAGATCGCACTAGTTTTCAACAGTATCTTCTAGCTCTAGAACTTGGGGTTCACACTGAAACTGTTCTTTATCCTTACTTTCCAAAAAAAACGGAATCAACCCACACATTCTTCAACTGGTGAATGAATAAGCAAAGTGTTGTACATCCACACAATGGAATACTATACAGCAGCTAAAAGGGATGCACTATTGATTCATACAGTAAGGAGCTGATTTTCTAATACACGATGCAAAGTGAAATAAGCCTGACTCAAAAGGCCACAGACTATATCACGCCGTACAACCTTCTGGGAATGGCCAAACTAGAGGAACAGAAGACAACTCAGTGGTTGCCTGGCCCGGGGTTGGGGGAAGCTATAAAACAGCAGAAGGGGCTGGTGTGATGGTGTACGTCTGTAATCCCAGAAGGAGGTAGGAAGATTGAAGCCGGTCCCCAACCTGGGCAATTATCAACTTTAGAAGGCCTGTCTCAAAATAAAATATAAAAGGCTGGAGCTGTACCTCAGAGTAAAGGCCTCAGGGTCAATCCCCAGGCCTGGGGTGGGGGTGGGGGACAAACAAACAAACAAACAAACCACCCAAGAAATAAAACAAGCGAAAGAGCAGAAGGGAATCTGGGAGGGGATGGACTCGGCCTCAGTCCCGATTGTGGTGGCGTTCACAGGACTGTCTGTCTGGGTCGCGACTCACAGGACTTGTGGCTCTCACTGTTAACGATGCCTCTGTTTCACCTGTGTGTCGGAGCAGAGCCATGGGACACAGGACGCCGGCACTGTCAGTTCCGTGTGGGACACACCCCCTTGAGCAGGAGCAGAGATCCTCAGGGGCAGCACCAGCAAGGGCCCAGGGAGGAGACAGCCCAGGTCCCTCGGTGCAGGGGAAGAAGGCAATTCAGAAACAGTCACTGAGGTCGTGAGCCGCAAGAGGCAGGGCTGAGACCCACGCTGTGCCGTGCACCACCCACCTCCCTCCGCACACAGCTGGGACTCTGCACCCCTGGCCCAGGGTTCTCCTCCAGGGTGCAGCCTCAGCTCTCGCCTGTCTCCAGACCCAGGGTTTATTCCAAAGACCCACAGGGGAGCCTGTATTTAGCCTCTGGGCTGCTTGCCAGCTGCTCGCATTGGACTGGCAGTGGCCGTTTAGAGCCTCCCGCGTCCCAGCCCGGAAATAGGAGCTCCCCCAGACCTCACCCTCCCATGGCTCTCCGTCTGCACCCCATCACCCTCACTTCCTCTCCCGTATTCACAGCCGACTCAGGACAGCCCCTCTTTCTTCAGACATTCTAAGGGCCTGCTGTGTGCAGGGGGGGCACCCCTTCCCCAGGGAGCCAGCAGCTCAGGGGAGCAAGACTTGATTCCAGCTCTGCTCTTACTAGCTTTGCCCTTAACAGTTTGGGGGTCTCAGTTTTCTCATCTGCATGATAGGAGCAATAATCATCCTACATCTCCTAGAGTTTAGGTGATGGCAACGAGGTAATGCCCACAAGGACAACTAGAAAGACATTCGCCCACTGGTGCTGCAGTTGGAGACACAGACATAACGAGGCAAAGGCCTTGGGGGTCCCAAGAGTGAGGCAGCTGAGCTGGGGGTTCACCTCGCAAGACCTGGGAGGAGACAGGGCGTCCCGGGAGGAGGCCGGCAGTGTGAGAGAGAAGATATGTGGCTTCCGGTTTGCAATCAAGGAGCCGACACCAGCCTGTTCCTGGCCCAGGTGCACCTGCGGATGTCAGTGGTGGCGATTTAGGCAGAAAGGTGACCCAGACCAATGCCAGACAGTTCCGGTGCTGTGCCTCACCTGGGTCTTCATTCTGTCCAACAGCTCCTTGAGGATTCAGGTCTACACCCTAGGAACTCCCGCGGACAAGAAGCTGAGCCAGAGGAGTACAGGCAAAAAGAGGTTCCCAAGGCCCAGGAAAGGGAAGCGGGAACAGAGAACTACTGGAAAGCACAGAGGGAGAGCTGGGCATGGTGGCACATGCTGGTAAACCCAGCTCTCTGGGAGGCTGGAGCAGGAAGATTCCAAGTTCAAAACTCAGCCTTGGCAACTTAGCAATTTAGTGAGACCCTATCTAAAAATCCTGGGGGTGTTGCCCAGTGCACAAGACATAGGTTTAGTCTCTAATAACACACACACACACACACACAACAGAGTACAGGAGGAACAGCCCCTCAATTCATGTGGCTCACCCCATGGCAAGGGAAACAACAGCTTGGAAACCCCCACCACCACCCCCGCTCTGCTTGACCAGGACTCTGAGAGTCCCATGTTCCCGCCAACCCTCAGTCCTAGGCAAACCTGGACAGCTGGCTTCCCTCCCTGCCCAGCCCCTACTTCCAGCTGCCCTGCCCCTTCAGCTTGCTGAGAAACAACCCTGCCGGACCTGGGGCTCTCAACTGCAACCTACCCTCTTCCACGAGGCTCTGGAAGGACCGGCAGACTGAGGCCCCACCGCGGCTGGCCAGTGTTCGGACACTGGCAAGGCTTTCTGGGCTCTGAGGCACAGGCTTTGCCTAAGCTCTCCAGAGGCCGGCAGGTGTGGCACCTAACTCCCAACCGCTAATCCCGCTGCAAGCCCCGTGCCAAGGGGATTAGTTTCTGGGGTCCCTGGCAGCAGGGAAGGGGGCAGATCTGTCAGGGTGCACTGGGTGCACCACACGACCCCGGTGGCTCTCTCCAGGAGATGCCCAGTGTGGAGGCAAGGGGACAGGCAGCAGCTGTCAGGCTCTGACCCCCAGGCCCTCCTGGACCCCATCCCAACCTACCCTAGCTCCTCAGGGCTCCAAGGATACAGTCTGACCTCGTTGTTAAATATTCGGGTGAGTCAGGTCCAAATCCCAGTTCCATCACTGCCTAGGACCCCAGGTAAGTCACGATCTCTGTTGCTTCATCTGTATAATGGGGAATAATGACAACATATGGATTGGGCCAAGGGTTAAACTGCAATGCTCTTATAAAGCAGGCAGCCCATGGCCTGGTCCCCACGAAAGGGCTCCACAAAGGCGGGCTTTGTGTTTTGCCTTGACTTTTACACCAGACTTATGCCCGGCCCTGGGCAGATATCAGATCTTCCTCTGGTAACACATCACTCTTGATGTCTCTAACACAAAGGATTAAACTATATTTGCTTTCTCAGCACCCAGTAAGGCTGCACCCTGGAATTACCTAGGAACCTCTCTGCCCTCCTAATTCTTCTTCTCCTCCTCCTCTTCTTCCTTCTTTTTTTACTGGTACTGGGAATTGAACCCAGGGCCTTCGAACTGAGTTATATCCCCAGGTCTTTTTTTTATTTTTTCTTTTGACCCAAGGTCGAATAGTCACTAAGCTGACCAGGCTGAGTTGAACTTGCAGTCCTCCTGCCTCAGCCTCCCAGAGTACTGAGATGACAGGTGTGGGCCTGGGGACTTTTTTCACAACCCCTGGTGTCTGAGTCCCCAGAGGTGCCCAGGGTCACAGCCTGGATGTCATGGTTTTTGGAGAGCCTACGTGATTCTACTACTTTGCCAAAGTTGAGAACCAATGCACCAGAGCAGCCTGCCTCCAACTTCACTGTGCTTAGGTGCTTGCCCTGGGGGTTGTGTTCAACCGCTCACCCTGAGCCAGTGAGTCAAGGGAGGACCTGAGAATCTACATTTCTGACAAGCTCCCAGGATACACCCCCGATGCTGGTCTGTGGACCACACTTCTGAGGAGCAAGACTTCCCTCTGCAACTTCACTCAGTCCACATCCCCACCGTGTCCCTACAGCCTCACAGCCACTCTGTGGCTGGTCGGGGCTCAGATTAAAATCTCCTCTTTCTGATGCTCGGGGTCGGGTATATGATCCGGTAGAGGCCAGGA